GTTTATATTGCTGCTAAAACGAGTGATTATTTCAATTATTTGTATTTAAAAATTTAATTTACAAATATATTCCAAATCCATCGATCGTTGGTATTTTAAAAGTTGGATACAAAAGGAGAAAAATACTCTTTAAATTTTTTCTATTAGAATTGAGAATCGAGTAAGGAATAACGATTTTATTAATGCACAATCCGAATGATTTTATTTGCAGGTAATGTTTATTTACAATTCTTATTTGTATAAAGAGTGCTAATCATAGGCTAGGATATATTTGTAATGCTGCTTGGAAAAATCGGTTTAAGACGATAATTATATATTCATTGTACATAGAGTAAATATCGAGCACTAACAACTCTTAGTAATCAAAAGTATATATTTATCGAATATATTTATCGGATTGGCATATATTTTATAACATAAAACATAAGAAAATTGTAACTGAAAGACTTGATGAAAATACTGATAATATATACATGTTTTGATCAAGTTATGATAAAGAAAATGCCAATTCTAAATTTGATAAACAAATACGAATGGGAAACAATTTTTAGTAATTTATACAAATTAATTCTCATTCTATGTGCGCAGCACTGAATACAATTGATGTTCGATCTACGATTTTCATACTATATACCATCAGCTTTTAATATAATTGCGACAAACGGGAACTTTAAGATATCTATGTAGTAAAGCTATTTTATGCAGAATTATAAATATATAAGTAAAAACAAAAAAAAAAAAAAATTGTGTCAACTTTTGTGTCAACAGTGATACACAAACACTGAACATTGTATGACAAACCCATTGAATTCTCATGCAAATTTATTCTAATAATTACCAGACTTTTATTTAAAATAGAGAAAATAAAATCTTATGATTATTCCATTTTTACATTATAGTGTGTAATAATACAATTTGTAAATAAAAATAATATTTATAAAGTCATTAATGTATTGCCATCGAGAACAATTTGACAAAATAATAAGTTTATATTACAATATTAACGTAAATTAAACATTCGGTGATTTGTTTATACAAAAATCGTAAAGTTGAGTTTAAAAATAAGGAATATGTAAAATATGTATATATTCCTCCATTATCGCTATTAATATTAATTAAAAACTATTGGTACTTTAAGAAGGATAAAACTTATAAGAAATAAAACTTAAAAGAGAATTTAATTAGCTTTATTTAAATGCCTTATAAAACTACGTAGGATGAAGAAAATAAAATTAAATCTTGTTACGATAATTAAAAAATTTTGAGTTCAATCTACAACACAATTCGCTTTTTAATTTTTTATCTCCAAAGAAATTCTGATTATAACAAATTTCCTATTCAACCAAATTATATTTGCATCGAAAGTATTGTGTTTGCGAAACCAAAGATAAAATAGTATAACATTCTATATAAATAGTATAATAATAAATTTCATTGAAATATCAGTAAAGTAAATATATTCCTAATGAACTAAATCCTAATTTAATACTAATTCAATTATATATCAATTACATTGATAAAATTGAATCTAACAAAATAACATTTTTATAGCATTAGCTCGGTCCATTGCGAATTTAAAAATCCACACGCGTGTACGCACAGAGATAGAGAGAGAGAGAGAGAGAGAGAGAGAGAGAGAGAGAGAGAGAGAGATAGAGAGAGAGACCCTGGTAGAACTCTTAATTAAATTGACTTCGCTCTTAATTAATTTTCATTATACATCCTATATACTAAATTCATAAAAATCAAAAAAAAAAAAAAAAAAAAAAAATTAAAAAAAAAATTAAAAAAAAATTTAAAAAAAATTGCATTTTCATCATAATTAAAAAATTTTGTAATTTTTCGAGTATAATGAAATGGTATTATAGAATCGATATGATGTTAGTAGTAATTTTAGAGGGTAGCCGTAGCAAAATCCAGTTATAAGCTCTTGAATTCTAATGATTCTAATATTGTAATAATCAATTGTTCCATCAACATTCAATTGTACAAATGGGCTACAACGCCAACTAAGGCTGTCCGTTATTGCATGAGTCAGGTTTCGTTATTCTATTGTGCTGGATATTTATGTATAAAATATTATTACCAATACAGAAATGACAATGAAACGAGTCTTAATTTTAGAACTGGACATTTTAAAATAGAGTTCCCTCTCGATAGATATTTTATTATATCTTCCTCATGCTTACGACCTATTATAATTTTTATTTTTTATATAAACCTATGATGTATATATATATATATATATATATATATATATATATATATATTTATTTATTTACGCGCTTACGGTTTGATAAATCATTGCCGATAATGAGATTAAAATACAAAAATTCGTTAATTTTACCACTTTGATATCGAATACTAAGAAATGAGAAATACAACTACGAGAAACAAACTACGAGGTTTTATGGATTATTCGATATCAACGAGCCCAAAGACGTTGTAGTTGGCATCACTGGATGCTGTGCTTAGATTAGAATAACAACGATGCAATAATATGTTTATCCGTTAGTTTTAGAGATTCCATGAAAAGCGGTATCGAGCGCGATTTGATATTCTATATATCTAGAGTCGAAATATATATCGTGTAATTTGTCCGAAATTTATTTTCGATATTGACCGAAGCGTATTATCATTATTAATTTGATAAAGCCTGTCAATTTACAAAATTGCCCACGACAATTGCAAGCTCGCGTTGGTCTTGAAAAATCGACTCTCGTATTTAATTGCAATGAAACGAAGCTCATTCCGTTAAATGATTGTAATTAGCATCTAATGATTGTGCGCGAGAGACTTTGTCATAATCAAAATCAACAGCACCGGGGACTTGGTCGATATTCATTTAAGATGGCGGCCATCGAGCGTATCCCCACTAACAACAACAAGGACTTCGGGAGGTTTCTTTTGTTGTATTATAATTCGCATATCGTTTGAGTCGCACTTACTCCTACCGCATTGGTGTGACTCTCGTGATAATTCGTCGAGTCAGCAACGCGAGTGGCTAATCTTCTACTTCTACCAGGGTAATGTTGCGCTTCTTCTCTCGTTGCGCCGGGGCGCTAATACATAAGGATAAGCCGCGAGATCGAGCGATCGATCGAGGAATCACAATGAGCGAGTCGCTCTACGCGTCGCGCAGCCAGATTTTCATGGGGATCTTCGTGAAGGCCCCGTTGAGGAAGGACATGAAATGCTTGGCGATGCTCGTACTGGCGGCGGGTCGCATCTCCTCGATGATCTCCTTGGCGTTCTGGTTGAGGAACTGATTCATGGCCTGACCGATGATGTTGTTGCCGTTGATTTGATCGACTATGCGGAAGCGGGCGCGCCCGAGGTTGAAGTCGATGAGTAGTCGACTGATGTTCATGTAGCGCACGCCCGCGCGTTTCTCCTCGGCGCCCTGGACGCGGGCGACCGCGGTGACGTCACCTGGAACATGTGGAGCAACAACCGACAGTTGAATATTCGAGTTGAATCGCTGGTGACTCGTGGCTTTCGTGGCATTCGTTACGTCATATTCATTGGGATAGGTGAGTGGAGCTTGATCAAATTGGTTATCGAGTGGTTTTGGAAGGCTTGTTGAATGTTTTTCTTTTTTTGTCTTTCTTTTTTCTTTTTTTTTTTCTTTTTTTTCTTTCTTTCCCTTTTTTTTTTCTTTTTTTTTAAACGGAGATAAGCGAGAAGCCAAGATGGAGATGTTCATGTTTTTATTGATCGGCCACTAAATGCATTTCACAACATTTGGCCTTATTCGTCGCTTTAAAGGTTACTTCACAATTATTTAGCGAGTTTAAGCAGTCATTGTTTTATTGGCTGAACGACGCGTTAAGAATAATATCCGTTAATTGAAGCAATAGCTCGTAGCACGATGCACGTGTGATTAATGAAGCAGCTGGGATTCATTTCTGACGATTGATTATTAAGTGAAAGTGCGAATGAGAAAAATTGGCAATTTTACCAAAGAATGCCCAGAAGTCTCCTTGACTTTGTATGGGAAAGAGGAGAACGTTGCCGGCCACCTCGTAGCGACCTTGGAGCTCGATCTTCGGTATGGACATGTAGAGGTCTAGCCTCAGGTTCTTCAGGTCCGTTCGTACTCTGTTAATGGAGTAGTTGCCCGGGCCGAATGCTGTTATGTTGGAAAAGATGGCGCGCACCCTGACAGCGCCTTGGCCATTTTCCATTCCCAATTCGGGGATTGTCAGTGGATCGATAGGGGGCAGATCGAGGTCTTGAATTCCTATATAAAGTAGAGTTTATGTGTAAGGGGATTATCTCGTTTCTCTTATTCGACAATCCTCGTAATTGTGAAAATGTTGAAAATGTTAGAGAATTGGAAAATGCTTATTGCCCAATGAGTATCCTTTGCAAAGCTGATTTATTGCTTATTAATTTTCTGATTTTCGTTCTTGGAAACTTGGAGTAAGTCTTACGAGAATACAAATTGAAGAGTTGAGAACAACTTTTATCATGATACTTTTATTTAGATAACAGTGTTATTGAAATATTTAGATTCGTACACGTTTTGGAAAAACAGATATTCACATTAGTGCGTTTGTTAAAGTATTGCCGAGCAAAAGTTATAGATTTAAATATGAAAGGTCATTCACAACAAAATTTCGAAGATTACTCGTCATAAGAAATGCAATAACATTGACACCGTCGAAAAACCTATTTACATATTAAATTCACTAGGCGCTTTTATAATTATATATTTATAATACATGAAATTATTTTATTTATTAATTAAAATGTTATTCGCATATTCAATAATAAATTTAAACATATACATAATAAGTATATGTATATATAAATGATAAATTAAGAGAAAAAATATGCAATCTGGAAGTTTTATATTGGCTAATAAAAAAGTTTGCTCTTTTAAAGAAAACATACTTACTAACCTTTCACAAGATATGGCTTCAAGTGGTTGAAAGCCTTTTGAATGCACGAATCTATCGCAGGATCGTTTCTGGTGCATGGCAAAATGTATTCCGCTGAAAAGGAAAATGTACTTTGAGAATAATGTACGGTTTTCTTCTTCTTTTAATTAAACAATTAATTTGATTAAACATAATGATATTTCATCGGGCTTTTACATGGTTTATTTACGTGGAATGACCGTGATCGCTTTGTTAAAGAGGTAAAAGAGATTCAGGGGTTAAAATAGGGGAATTTAAAGCATATTAAGGTTGCTTTGGACGAATGAACTTTTCGGTAATAATTGAAAATATTCTCTTACGGGCACATTTAATTGCAATTATATTCCCGTAATTGTTATTAATGGCAAATTGTCAACTAGTTATAATCATTCAAATTATTCAATATATAATCTGAATGTTTATTTTTATAAATTAATATCGTAAAAATTCCAATATTCTAAAATGAATAATGAATTGGACCGCGTGTGAAAGCCTATTGGATGATCTATTGCATCATAAAATAATATTATCATGTAATTTTAAATAATAGTAAACATTATTCGTTTATATAGAGAAAGGGAGCGAGGTAGAATTAATATAAATAATAATTAACGATTTATCGATTAAATTATGTTATTAAAATGTAATTACAAAATGTGAAATAAATTCTGGAAATAATTTTTATAAACGATCGTGTTTTCATGATACTGTTAGAAGAAAAAAATTATTGCCATTCATTCGACTTGTATCGATGGTGACATATAACATAGTTAAATTGTCTCTATCACTTCTAAAAAAATGATTAAGCGTTTTTATTAAACGGAAATATATTAAAATGTTCTTGTTAATAAAGTCCTTTAAAATTCTCAACTTATATATAATCATAATCATTCGTATTCCATATAACTTTGCAATAATTAAACACTGCCAAGTTATAGAAAATTAATTACTTTTACGCCAATTTAATGAAAAAACGTAATAATTAATAATTTACAAGCTATCGTGAATCGTTTATCTATCAATGATTTTACATAACGTAAATTAGTAATTTTATAATTTGTGCTCTTTCAATCAAGATATTTCAATTATTCTACTATTAAATGTCGAACGTGAATTTGAGCCCGTAAATGCCTCTACTAAAATCAACAAAATTGTTAAACACGATAATTGAAAATTGCAAATACTAATCTAAATCCTAATATTGTTATACGAATGTTATACGAATATTGTGTCGTACTACATCCTAAAGAATGTTCGAATCCTTCGATGAAACTATTTCGATGCCTATACTATACCTATACTATATAGGTTTAACATTGTTGTGCAAAACTCCCAATTTTTCCAAGTCAGTCGATAACGAAGATATTGCAAATTACTTTAGCAGCGTGACTTTAGAATTATCAAGTTTAACGAAGGACTAAACCTCTGCAACTCCAACAATCAATGCCAATATAAATGACCGGACAATTAAAAATGTATACAAGTATTATTTTATCCTACGACGTTTCGTTAGAGGAGATAGCGAGCGATAAGTAAGAGCGATCGGCTCGCGGGGATATTCAACGTAGGTGACATAATAAAAAAAGCCAAAGAAATCAAGTTCGATGAGCAGGAAAGTCGTAAAGGAGTCACGTACGCAACGGCTCAGACAGAACAATGTTACATCGCCAATTAAACAGACGTGCAAATTAACGAAGCGGTCACGCGACTGTCCCCGGCGCTCCCCATGTCTTCCTTCTTCCGCAATGCTGTTTCGGACTTATGTAAAGCGCTCTCACTTTCTCACTCGGATACATCTCCATTGACTCAGCCGGCGACTCGGCTGCTTTTTTCTTCTCCGCTTGGTTGCGACACGCAGTCGAGTATCTCCGCTTTGAAATGTGTTTGTAATATGACCGAACAAGTCTAATCTTACTGACGTCGTAGATTAGCGCGTAATTAATGTGACCTTGATAGGCTGGTGGCCGCCTCGCATCAAGGCATTCACGATCGACGATGACTTTTGCCAATTTCGTATCGCCGAATTTAATCGAACGAGAAAATTGCAATGCAGCTGCTAAGACTGTCCAGACTCCCTTGCAGATTGATGTCGTGATTATTAATTGCGCTTTTCTAATGGCAACAAGTGAAAACGGCACGCTATTTTGAGTTTGACGAGGGGTGGTGGGGTTGGGGGGGAGGGGGGGAGGGGTACAGTAGTTGAACCCAGGATCGATCGAGAGAATGAAAAGGAAAAAGTCGTTGTTAATTACTCGAGAATCGATATAGCTAAAAATTCTTAAAAATCCATTACCGACTATTTGCTCTATAATATAATAAGTCCATTATACCAAGTCAAAAAGAAAAAAAACAAAAAACAAAAATATTGGCTTTACATTCCCCAAGCGTCGACATACTCCCAACATCCTCGCACTCGCAAATGACAAACTTTCAAGTTTACGATTTTAAGTGCACCTACCTTTCATAACCTCTCGCACCGTCCCACTCCCCCATCTCACACACAAGCAATTCATTTATTTAAGACGCCAACGAGCTTTAAATAATGCATTATCGCGCGAGCGCTCAACCTGAAAACATAATCGCAATGCATCGTCGCAATTCCGTTTGTGCGAAATCAAGGCAAGCCAAGGGAGATCCGACAGCCATCTCTCTCACTCAAGATTCATGCGCACAATGAAAGAAATGCATAACGCACAACGTCCTCAAGCGGGGATAACACAGAGTCAGAGAGAGAGAGAGAGAGAGAGAGAGAGAGAGAGAGCCCTCGACCAAAGAACAAAGAGCCGTGCGAGCACACGCGAGCACGCGCAACCCATAACCCATAAACCACGGAGCCGTCCTCCCGGATTGCGCACAACGATAACAATGAGCTTGACAATCCCATTTGGACCTCCGATCAAAGAAGTGTGCGTCTCGCTTGACATGCGCTACGTGTTTTCGACAGCACTCGAGTCCCGGCTCTGACATCCGGCATGCGCCGCTTTTGCTTCCCGTAGAGGATTCACGAGCACCATCTACGTCGAGACATATCCCTCTAACTGTCTGTCTCTCTCTCTCTCTCTCTCTTTCTTTTCACAAACACAGGCATCGCTCGAGAGCCGCTCTATGGGCATCTATGACAATAGGATTGCTTATCCGTAGGTACGTCATCGGTTCGCCAGATGAACGGGCGCTTCCGAGGAGGAAATTACAATGAGCTTTGACCGCGCGAAACGGCGTTTAATGACGATAAAGAATAGAGCGGGCAGCATTGGCCGTGCCGGAGAAAAAGTGAAAGGTCGCCGGGATTCATTTGAAATTTTGACTGATTTATGAAGACCAACACCTCCTTGTCCAATGCCTAAGTAAATGCCTCACCAACTTAACAATTTCGCCATTTTCAGTGCCCATTTGCATAAGCGTTCGCTTGCACGACACGGTAGTCTCTATATCAGATAAGTCATCACTTAACTCTTTCATTTATTCGTTTGTTTATTTATATTTTGTAAAGGGAATCGCGGCTTCGCATGAACTGAGGAGTTTTAACTGTAAGCCTATTGTATCGAATATAGTTAGTTTGCAATGTTAAATTGCTTTTGTATTATTATTTTAATCACTGGCGCTTTATTATTTGCAATGAATAGTGGCGTTTCGTCAATAGCGCGTCAATGGGAAAGTTATTAATCAATACTTACAATGATAAAATACATATAATTAGGAGATACGGATGCTCATCGTGCATTGAAATATTAAAAAGATATTATAAAATTAAAATTAATTCAACGAAGATAACCTTTCGTATAATAAATTGCATAATATGCATTGTTTAGAAAACTATTAACTGTATGGGGATGACTGGTCTTTCAAATATTATTATTATATTGTGACGAGAGAACGTTTAACGTTTATTGTAGAAAATAAGTCAGTGGTAAGTATATGTAGCAACTGTACCAATTAAAATCTATTACAAATCAAAAATTTTCTGCTCATATCGTATTCTCTGATTACAAATCACGGCAAATATTCAATAATGATAAATAATATTATATTTTTCTCCATAATTTGATACATTCATTTTCTTATCAATGTTAAAGGCGTATTTGAAACAACATAGTTTTGTACATATTTACATACACATACATACAATCATACGTATTCGGATAATGAGTATTAATTAATAATTAATAATTAATAATTGATGAGAAAATGTACAAGGATGCTAATAGTTATGAAAAAAAAAAAAAAACAAATTATAATATAATTTAATAATGAAATATAGATTTTAATTAAATATATACTTTTCTTACCCAAATTTCTATATTATCGTTAAAATTTTCATACATCAATACGAAACCATTTAATATTATTATTATTTTTGGTAACGTACGACATAACATGCCGTCTAAATCAGTTACGCTACGTTTCGACAATCTGGACTTGAAATGCGTTGCAACACTATTTCGTCTCGAAACTCTATTCGAGTAGACCCTTTACGCTACTAAAGCGTAAAAATCTTAACGGCCGTAATATATTTATTTACTGACACACAAAATGCAATTTGGAAGTATCTTTACTACCAATTGCCGCACCAATACTATGGAGTCACAGACATGGCGCTTAAGTACTCATACGTGATTTTACCCAGTGATCACTGTGAATGCAGAATAATCATTCACAAAGACAATGATGTGTGAGATGAGACACGACGAATGAGAATTGCGACATAAGTAGCGATAAGATCATGGATCTGATGAAAGTGACATCATGAGTGGCCACTGTAAGCCAGTAGTAGTGCGGTTTTAGGAAAAGAAAAACAAATTATTACAAATAAGAGAACCGAATAGAGAAAGGTATTGCTGCTGAGAAAAAATATATTACACAAAATTTAATTAATCCGAATAAATAAAAAGCTACGTAAAAAGCAATCTTTCTTTGATTATGTAAATTAATTGTTATTCAAAATTTTAATTATTCATTCAAATACGAAATTCCAATGTATATAAGATAAGACTTAATAGATAGTACAATTTTATTATGTTTATTTGGAGAAGAGATGTTAACAAATATTTCTTAAGTTCTCTATAGCATGAATGTGA